CGGCTGTACAGTAACAGTGGAAGTTAATATGAAGCCGTACAGTAACAGGGTTCAATGGAAAAATTGCACTACAAAAGGGAAAGCAACGTGTGCACTAGCTGGATGCTACTACCTACTAAAGCTCTTATTGATGTGTCAGTGGTATTAATGCCTGTCAACCAGAGTATATTTATAAATGTTTATTATTTTAAACAAACTATTGTCTCTCATTCGTTTGTGTCATTTAAGGTAGACTGTATGCTTTGAATTCTCATTGGTAGTTTAAATACTACATTTTCATGTACGTATACACCGAGATTTCACAAAATGTTTGGTCATGGAAATTTGGTTTAAAGTCATGGAAATCCATTGGTCAAAATGTGTATGAACCCTGAGTACTGTTAAAATAAAAGTGCGCAATACACTACTTTTGAATTCATTATTGAACTTTGCGCATAACAATGCGATTAATCGCAAAAAAATAATGCGATTTAAAAATATTAATCGTTGCCCAGCACTACATTTAATATAACTAGCAGGTCAGTGGAAATGCAGCTTAGCAAATGGAACAAAGCTACATTCTGTGATTTGGGACCAGCGGTGGGATACGTACACGTCATTCTTTTAAAACACGCTCTATTTTCATGCTCTTTTTTTGGCTTTCTGGTAGCTTATTTACATGCAAAGTAAATTCAAGGATTCAAGGATCATTTGTTGTCATTATGCAACACAGGGGTGCACAACAATATTTTGCTACACAAGAAAAACATGAAACATAGTCCTGCAGGTCTGGCTGGTTGGTCGGCCGTGGGCGGTGATCGCCTCAAGGGCTGCAGCACTTCCTCCTTCCAACGCGTCCTCTTCCAATGCTGATGAAGTAATTCTGTCCTTTGCAATTAGTGCTCCAACAATGTCACTGTGTCCTTGCTCCCGCAGGCTGGTCCTGTGGTGTGTGGATGGATGAATGGTGACATGTAGTGTTCAAGAGCTTTGAGTGGTCGGAAGACTAGAAAAGAGAAATACAAGTACAGTCCATGTACCATTTATCTCTGACATTATCCTAAGACAAGTCGGCCACAGTGGTAGAAACCACATGTGAGCAAGGCTGAGCCAGAGATATAGGATTACTGGCACCAGTGTAGCTATGAGAAAGATCTTGTCATGTTGACTGACACACGGAGCCCCAGGCAGACAGACAGGGTATCTCCAGACAAAGCACCATTTACCTTAGTGAGAGTAGACTGTAGAAAGCTGAAAAGATATCGAGTTGCATTCACAATGAGAGCTGCACATATTGAGGTAGCAACTGATTCATTCATCAATGCCTTACACTGCTTCATAACAAGATGAGAACAAGTCAAAGAACTCTGCTTGTATAATGGTAACAGCTTTATTGGCAGTTAAGAAGCTCTATGGACTACCAGAATCCTCCTTAGATCCATAAGGAGCTCCTGCAGAGAAGTATTAAGCGAACATTTAATCCTCCACGAAGCCATCATGGATGAGCATGGAAGAGACTACTAATCCATTGGAGGACTTCAACTGTACCTTTAAGGGTACAAACTGATGAGGAAGGTCTCCACACACTAATCTGTGAGGTAGACATGTTGGTACTATCCTGTCATTGTAAGTGTTCGTTGTAAAAAGGCATCCTCAGATCCTGCTGACCTGGAGGCTGTGACTCCCTACGTCCTGCTCCTCAAAGGTTTCTTTCAGAAAGCAGATTTGTATAGCGTCCCTTGATGGGACAGTGTATAGGTCTGATTTGTTCTGGAAAATATGGACAAAGGAGTACTTGCCTCAGCTACAATAATGTCAGAAGTGAACCAGAGTCGAGCACAATTTGGTTGCTGGAGACATCCTAATCATCATGGACCAGTCAGCACGCGGTACCTCTGGATCATGGAGAGAGTTATTCTATCTGCTCCAGATAGGAGAGGACTAGGATCAGGATCAGGACCAGGATCAGGAGCAGGATCAGGACCAGGATCAGGACCAGGACCAGCTGAATGGACAGGCCTGTCATGAAGAGCCTGATGGATACTCCTTGACACAACCTGTTTTGACATGACATGTCAAATATAATCACAATGCATTCAAAATAATACAAAAACCCAATGGAAATAAATACCCATATGAGATTCTAAACATGATGACAATACAACAGATAAGACATGTTGGAAATATGTGCGCTAACATTAATTAGAATAGCTATTCTGAAAAGATAAGTTTTGAGCAGTGATTCAAAAGATTCTCCAGCCTCAGAGCAGCAACTGAGCAATATACCTAAGTGTGTAGAGAAATAAATGACGTGTCCTTCCCTTTGTCCTAGTCCCTGTAGACACCAATCTCATTGTCGTGGTCCAGGCCAAAGAGGATGCCTACATCCCTCGAACAGGGGTCCTCAGTCTGCAAGAGATCTGGCCAGGATGTGAAGTGAGATATCTGAATGGAGGACACATCAGTGCATACCTGTTTAAACAGAACGTCTTCAGGTAAACTCCCAACTCAAAGGGTATCAAGAGAAATGTGTGCTCAGGTATCAGCTGTGTGAGGTATATCTAGTTAAACAGTGCGGACAAGAAAACTCTGTAAGTATTTAGCTGAGGACACACTTTGAATTTGACTCGCTTGTAGTATTACTTCCCGTGTTGAAGTACTGCTATTGGTAAGTAAAAGTCGGTACACCTGTAACCTGTAAAGCCCTGTCACACTTTCATCGCTCCTTTCTCTTCCTAGTAGCAACAAGTCATGTGATGGAGTGAAGTCCAGAGTCACATCAATCTAATGACTTTAGACTCAAAAACAAGACTTTCAACTCTGCTTTGCCTTCACCACCAGGGACTCTACACTTGGCCTTATGGCAGGGAATGACTTGATATCCTCCAAAGCCAGAGGATGAAATCATTTTAAAGAAAGCCAATGACTTTGCAGAAGCAGGAGGAAAGATGCCTTTATTAGAGTAGAGCAACATAATGCATCTCAGATTATCGCAGTTAAACATTAAACACACAGGCAGCAGGCCTGACCTGCATATTTAGAAGACAGACGTCCCTGGTGGCAGGCTACACCAGCTGTAGATAATTAGCATTATGAATTCATTAATTGATGTGCTCTCTGCAAGCGGGTGTCTGTACGCACTAGGGGTGTCCCTGAGTAAGGATTGACATAGTGAGATCTGATTGGTCAGGTCTTGCCAGGAGTCGACTGATCGTCCAATCATGTCTTTTTTTGTCATTGCCTGTTGCTTCATGTACGTTCTTGACTGGACTCACTGCGACCGTTGGACTGTGAGATTGGCAGTGGAATCGGACTCCTTAGATCGTATGGAATAGTCGACTATTCTGGATCACCCGTAGTACACACACCACCCTGTAACGTCACTCTACTGTCATGTGTTTTTGTAGTTCAACAAGAAGCACAGCGATGAGTCTTTTCTCCACAAACTCTTTGCCAGGAAGTCTGTGCGCTCCAAGATCGGATCGCATTGGGATCCGATCAGCCAGACCACATGCTGAGGTGGCCTGGCTTGCATTGAGTTCAGATCTCAGTGAGGTGTGGACAGCATGTGGGCACAGTCTGGAAAATGTATCAAACGTAGGCCTCATCATGTTCCCCCCCCAAAGAACGGAGTCCAGCGTAGACCTCGTGCCTGAGTCCTGCTGTCACTGCTGATAAAAACATAACATTTCCTGATTGTGCTGCTTAAAGAAAAATGCTTTTAAAATAACAAGATGTGAGGGAGAATTTATAGGAATGTGTTCATCACAGAGTTAGCGGAGCTAGCTTTGCTACTCTTTAATGACACAAGTCTACAGCAGGGAGCAAGAGTATGCACACAAATAACAGGGGACTTTTATTGTGAAGAATTTATGGGAACAAGTGCGTATCCACTGTTTTACAACCGCCTGAAATACTGTATATATCCCATCAGCATGCGATCAGGCAGGTGACATTAAAGTGTCACATGTGGACATATATGCAGATGCAGCTGATCACAGAGGTCACATTGCAAAGACAAGTGTACCACATAGCTGCTTCTTCAGATCATATCAATATTCTAATCCTATCACTTTAATAGTTCTCAATCAGGACCTCTTGTATCTAGAGCAGGTAGCTTGTGAAGAATAAGATGAACAAATTTACACATCCCTCGTCTACCTTCATTTACCAGAACAAGTGTGGAGTTCTTGTTGCATGGAAAAACCAGTCCAACCCCAGACTGTGTTTCACTTCATTTCTACTAGTGCTGGGCAACGAATACAATTTTGAATCGCGATTAATCGCATTGTTATGCACAAAGTTCAATAATGAATTCAAAAGTAGTGTATTGCTCACTTTTATTTTAAAGTACTGCTATATGAACAAAAGGGCAATAACATTTGGTTTGCAAACACTTTAAAAACATCAGGTTCTTGTTAATAGCAGTATTCCCTTTACACAGTAGCAGTTATAGTTATAAAGATTCTGATCATTGATATTCAGCCGGTGGTCACAACTTTATCTTCATGTGTATAAGAGATGCAATTTAAATATACTTCTTGAAAACTGCAAACCTATCTACGTCATGTTTTTATGTTTCTTAAATTCTCAGTAGCGATAACTAAATGATGCTTATTATACATATTACAAACAAAACACTTTAAAAACTCGACAATATGTATTTTAATATTGTCACTGTTGTAAATTGTTTGATTGCATGATTTACTTTTATTGTGAAGAGCATGAACACGGAAGAGCTTTTACTTTGAAGAGACAGGAAGTAGAATGGTACGTGTTGTTGACGCTAACAATGTTGATGCGTAGAAAACCACATGTCGGGTGCAAGAGCGCGTTGTGTTCACTGTAACACTGCAGTTCAGACAGTAAAGTGTTCCGTTCATACAAGACTGTCTTGGTCCTCACGAGAAGCTCCACTTCACAACAGTCACGTTTGATCCTGTAACGAGACGATCGCGATCGCGCTCGCCTGTGAGTGTGTGTGTGTGTGTGTGTGTGTGTTTGTGAGACGAGAGTGAATGACGGTGACGGAGGCCAAATCCCAATGTCCCCCCTTACGGACTCACGGAATTTGAGGCGCGCTCCCGCGATGTCCGTGAGGGTTTAGGGATGTCTCGCTGTCAAATCGTCAAGTGTTTGAGTCTCTAGCAGACATTTTGAGCCCTTTATGAACCCTTTCCGTAAGTCAGCATAGGATGCTGACTTAGCCTAATGGAATTACCCACAAATCATTGCAATGTGACGTTAAACACGGGGTAACCAGTGGACGCATGGAGACGTAAAAAAAAAGGTAAACAAAGAGGACGGCTCACGTGTGTTCAGTCTAAAGTAATACATTTACTCAGAAACATTAAGGGTTAAAGATGGAACAAAAAATAAACATGAAATCAGAAGATATTTATTTATTTATTCATCAAATATTTGATTTTGTCATTGAAGCTGTTTTGACAACGAGTAAATGGATGATATGAAGTTACCTCTCATCTAGTGAGGAAAGAGCCTGGAAGACGTTCAAATCAGGGAGTACAATGTATACAATAAATACACACAATTATACATCATATGTATTGTTGTTTTCATGGTAACGTGATATGTTGCAGCAAAGTGCTGTCCCATTCCTATTTACACCATCTCAAGCCCTCACAGTCTCTCACACTCACCCACTTAGGTGATGTCAGTAAGTCCTTGAGGGTTCAGGGTTTGAGGGTTTAGGGGGGGACATTAGGATTTGGCCGGAGTGTAGGAGGGCTTCCGGACCCAGGGGGGAAGAAGGAAGTGACGCCAAACAAACACAGCTGTTCACTGCTTGCTGCCTGGTTCTTGTGTTAAAAATGTCGCTTAATAATACAAAAAAAAAAACTGCGTTAACGCGCGATAATATAATTGTCGGCGTTAATGAATTAACACGTTAACTTGCACAGCACTCATTTTTACATGATCTTGTCTTTGTCATGCCACATTTTGCTGTGTCATTGCTTGATAATTGATGATCTGTTTTCCTTCCAGACGGGCCATATATGATACATTCGACAGATTCTGCCTGAAGTATCCCGACCTGCACTAGCCATGGCCGGCTGAAGCCTTCCTCCCGGGAACAGCACCAGGATCAGTGGCTGGACATTCCTGTCCCCAAACCAAAAGCTTTGCTTTCTAATCATTTATATCAGATAATTATAGAAAATGACTAAAACTAAAGATATCAAAAATAGTTGTGGAATATTTGCACCAGTGTGTGTGTGGTTGTTAAACTAACACTCAGGCCTTTAGTTTGACTTTAGTAAGTGGACTTTAACCCTGTGGCAGTGCACATTCTCCGGTGTTGTCAATGTTTTACCTGGAGAAATGTGGATAGGACACACAGACACACCCTGTAATATTGTATTAAAATGACCAACATGTACACAAGGGAGTCACAGCAAACAATGCAGCTTGTCATTTGATCTGATAGATATCAGCCTCACTGTTTACAGTTCACTCTCCTCAGTGGTCAGCTACTGCTAACTGGTACCCAACATTTCACTATAAGTGTGACAGGCTTTATTTCTGTTTTGGGAGCAGCACAAGGACCTGTAAACGGAACTTGACTTATCACCTTATTAGGTTTTTAAACTTTAAGCGTTCTTTTTACCAACTCCTGAGAAAAATATAGCATAGCATACCAGTGGTTCTTCTGATGTATTTTAAATAAAAGTCACTAGAGACCTGAGATATGTAAGAGAGTTCTATTTTATTCCCAGAATGCTAGACAGAAGAGATGATGAATAATGTTGTATTTCCCTGTGTGGCCTCATGATGGTGCTGATGTCTCACTGTTACTATGAATAAAAACAGTGATGAAAAAACTTAGTTTAAGTTGGCTCAATGTTGGTTCCTGGTTCCTACATTGTTTACTATCCTCATGGCTCTTTCTTATGGTATGCCTAATGAGTGCTATGTGCTTCTGTAGTTCAACAAGAAGCAGAGTGATGAGTCTTTTCCCCAGAAACGACCTCACGACCAGTGAACGATCCAGACTGTTCCTTGTATTTCCCAGAGCTGCAACGCACCTTGGCAACATTGCTCTCACATATCTTATATAAGATTTCCAGCAGATCACAAAGATGTGTTTTTATATACTCTGCCTATATTAACATGGTCTAACATCAGTTGTTTGTAAGTGTTTATCTTACAATTTTCAAGCAGCTTAGATTTGGTTTTTTTTCGAATTTAATTTATATCAAACAACCCTTTTCATTGAATCATTTCCAAAGCTATCACCTCCAAATGCTGCTGCAAATTCTCCCCAGAACAAAACATATTAGTGTTGTCTGTACATAAACCAAATTCCAGTTTCTTTGATAATCTGCATTTATTATTTATGTACAAAAAGAACAATTTTGGGCCTAATACTTAAATAGCTTCTCAACCAATTCAACGCAATCCCTCTGATAGCAATTTATCAAGGGTGATCAATGGTATTAAAAGTTTTATTTTTATATCTATATATACTCCAAATGCATACTTATTTGTCTATACGATTAGCGATTTCTTCTATTAATTTATTTAGCAGCAAACATGTCGATCTGTTTGATCTGAATCAGGCGGCAACCTCTGGTTCTGAAAAGAGAAGCTAAAGCAGAAGTTCCTTAAACTTACATTCTTTCTAATGGTCTTCAGGGGGCGACTCCTCTGGTTGTAAGAAGAAGTCTGATTGTACAAAAGTCAGAAGTCATCAGACGGTCTGATGTCCGTAGTGAGGTTATTCCAGAGGAAGTGGGTACGATAGGAAAAGACATCCTTCTGTCAGTAATTTGTGATTTCCCTCCCCAAATCCATTGGTTCAGAATGTTAAAATTAAATTATGAATCATTCCAGTTGGTACACGTTTGGAAAAAGCTATTCACCTTTGTTTACAGCTGCAAAATACTCAAGTACTGTACTTAAGTACAGTTTTGAAGTTCTTGTACTTGACTTGAGTTTTGTATACTTCTACTCCACAACATCAAATAAGGACTCCACTACATGTATTTGACAGCAGGTTTATTGCATATCATCCATACAAAATATAAATCAACAAATACATTCTAACATATTACTATAGGTAAAACCGCCCTGCAGTATACAAAGTAATTAAATGTAATCAATTGTTTACCAGCTGCAACATTAAAGTGACATAAAAGCACAAATAAAATATTCCAGTAATATTAACCTATATTATTCTGAAAAGTATTATACCCAGATATATAACCGTATTTTGCAGGGTTTCGATTTAACTGGTTTCAAGTCCTTTATTTTGTAGCTTGTTTACATGTGTGAGGTGGAGCCGGATATGACGTCAGCTCTTCTGTGTACACCAGCTGATCGGAGCAAAAAAGCAGATCCGTCATTACTGTCATTTTCTAATGTTGTGATATCTGGGCCACAGCAGCAGTCCGGCTTCTCACGCGCAACTGACGTTCAGCGGGAAACTGCAGCGCGTGCAGCAGACACTGGAGCTTGGCGAGGCCTGTTTGTTTTGGTTGATAGCAAGGCCTACCTGCGATGCTAAGCTAGTTAGCTAGCTGTCACCGTTTGAAGGATTCATGAACGTAAATTACTGGTGACGGAAGCTAACGGTCAGGGAATACCTTCACAGCGACACTCGAACAAACGCTGCAGGTGTGACAAATATGTTATAGCAAACTAATAACGTTATCTGTCGTGAATGGGTAACGTTAACGCTGGAAGGTGATTGGAAGCCTATGTAGCCTGTCCGGTTTCCACACACACTCTATGACAGAGACATCGTTTGGTGTCAGCAGCGCTCTCGTCCAGCTGTAAGATGTGGTTGAAGCTCTTCTTCTTGCTCTTGTACTTCATAGTGTTGTTTATGCTAGCGAGGATTTTTGAGGCGGTAGTCTGGTATGAGACCGGGATGTTCGCCACTCAGCTGGTGGATCCAGTTACTCTCAGTTATAAGAAGCTGAAGACCATCCTGGAGTGTCGAGGGCTGGGATACTCCGGACTGGCTGAGAAGAAGGACGTCAGTGAGCTGGTCGAGAAATCAGGTAAAGATCGACTTCAGTCAGGGCCACAATTGGCTGGGGCCGAGTGTCTGCGTAGAGAAAAATATACATCAGCTGATATATCCGATTTTCAAACTCTAACATATTACATTTGGGCAAAGACATGGGAGTGATAGTGAAGAGGACTGTTTCTATACGCTGTGTTGGAGCTTGTAAGTGAAGAATACAACGTGACTAACAGCCGACAGCTTTGCAGCTGGACTATGCCATAGTGGGATAAGAAGAGGGGGAAATAATCAGAAAATATTGCGATGTACAGCAGAAATATGTTCTCATAAGTTAGAGAACATTTCCACCTGATACCAAGTAATGACTCAATACATTATTGATAAAGGACTTTGATCGGTTCAGGGACAAAACAACTTGATGTTTACCAAACACCTTCATACCTCCTTTCTCCTGATTGGTCAGCGTTGTTTGTCTGAAGTCTTATTTGTGTCTCTAAAGTTATGTGCTTTGTAAATTGTGCTGACGATGGTCCTTTGACGGGAACCTGGAATTGATCCTTTGGTCTGTTTCCAGACTTTAAAATATCCTCTCCTGACATGTTCTAAGACACAGAAACAATTCCCACATTCTCCTCCTCATTGAAATATCCAGAACCTGTGAGTATGCAAATGTGACATAAGATGTCTCCTACTTCACTGAAAAGTCCTCTTCAGTGTATGTATGGGCTTCTAGCTTCCACATCACTCGTATGTATGTTGCATACTGGACTAGGATTGGCTCCAGACTAGTAGTGGTGTTATATATTCTGCTGGTACATCCAGATGTCTGACTGAGATTTAAGATGAGCAGAACACCTTTAGTTCATCAATGTGATGACAAACGGCACACGTATGTCTGCGACGTGGAGGTGGATGAATGACTAGTTGGGTCGTGGACCGGGCGTTGTCAATAACTGGTTAACATCTCTACCTGCTGTACTGTGGGGACTTAATGATACCTGTCATTATGGATATTATTCAATACTTACCTGTAGTTTTCAATGAGATTAAATCAAATGTTGAGCAAATTGTATATATAGAGGTCAACATACTTATTATTATTATTATTATTATTATTATTACCTACCACTAGAGTTTGTGGTACTTGGAATCAAGGACGAAATGAATGTATTGGCTAACAGGAGGATACGTCCTGAGTGCTTTTTAATGGTGGTTCTCTCTTGTTCCCCCACAGGAGAGTTGACTCAGGGCGAGCTGTACTCAGCCATCAAGAAAGAGAGAGAGCAGACGGAGGCAGGAGATGCCAGCACCACACACTTCAGTGGAGAGATGCACTTCTATGAATTAGTGGAGGACACTAAAGACGGGATATGGCTGGTTCAGGTAAAGACACTTACGAACACTATATTAAAACAATATAGTGCTGTTGCCTAATTAAGTGGACATGACAATGATTGTGCTGCATACAGCAGGAATATCACACTGTCTCTAATCACACACTCTTAATCCGTCAACGTTCATCTTGTGCATGTGTCTCTCGTAAGTTCCCAAGCTTTATGGAATTGCAACACTCCACTACTGCAGGTGTGAATGTCCAAACATATTGCAATGGGAACGCTGTGAGCCAGGTTGACATGGTGACAGGAAGTCAGCCAGTCACAATTTCTTTAGCACTGCTTACACACACATCACAGATTGTATAATTTACACAAGAAATAGTGTAGTGATTGGAGCAGTCCTGAGCCGTGAGTGTGTTGATCAGGCACATCCTCTATCAGTGCATGTCGCCAGTCACAGGCTGTATTCCATTTTCTGGAGGGCAGCACAGATAAAATTTCTCTGAAGTCATTTCTTGACATTTAATGAGTGCTGGGCAAGTTAACGCATTCATTAATTAACGCCGACAATTATATTATCGCGCGTTAACGCAGTTTTGTTTATTTTTATTATTAAGCTACATTTTTAACACAAGAAACAGGCAGCAAGCAGTGAACAGCTGTGTTTGTGTGGCGTCACTTCCTTCTTCCCCCCGGGTCCAGAACCCCTCCTACACTCCGTCACCGTCGTACAGTCTTGTCTCTCTCTCACACACACACACAGGCGAGCGCGATCGTCTCGTTACAGGATCAAACGTGACTGTTGTGAAGTGGAGCTTCTCGTGAGGACCAAGACATGTCTTGTATGAACGGAACACTTTACTGTCTGAACTGCAGTATTGCAGTGTTACAGTGAACACAACGCGCTCTTGCACCCGACATGTGGTTTTCTACGTATCAGCAACATTGTTAGCGTCAAGAACACGTACCATTCTACTTCCTGTCTCTTCAAACTAAAATCACTTCCGTTTTCATGCTCTTCACAATAAAAGTTAATCATACAATCAAACAACAGTGACAATATTGAAATGCATATTATCGAGTTTTTAAAGTGTTTTTGTTTGTAATATGTATAATAAGCATAATTTAGTTATCGCTACTGAGAATTTAACAAACAAAACAAAAGAAGTAGATATGTTTGCAGTTTTTTAGGTGTATATTTCAAATATCATCTCTTACACACATGAAAATAAAGTTATGAACACCGGCTGAATATCTATAATCAGAATCATTATAACTGTATTATAACTGCTACTGTGTAAAGGGAATACTGCTGTTAACAAGAACCTGATGTGTTTAAAGTGTTTGCAAACCAAATGTTATTGCCCCTTTGTTCATATAGCAGTACTCAGGGTTCGTACGGTCATGGAAAAGTCATGGAATTTTAAAATGGTTATTGGAAAAAAATAAAATCCCAAAAGTCATGGAAATTTGTTATATTCATATTTTCATGTCGTTCATTTACGCTGAGTTGCCAGCCAGCGTTTCTCAGATTGGAGTGAGACGAGGAGAAAAGGTGATGTCGTGATCTTCGCAATAAAACATCTTTGATGTGTCGAGTCTTGGCCAATCAGCGTTCAGATGTCTACAGCGTCTTCATTTCCCTCCCTAAAGTTTAAGTTCCGTTATGTACCGTTACCGTTCAGACTTGCTGGGTTAAGTTAACGTCCACTGCATGCGGAACTTTGTCGACTGTTAACGTTCATCATTATCGCGATTTAGAAGGAAAAAACATAACGTGATGAAACATGCAGGTCAAAGAGCTTCAGGGAGAGGAGGCAGTAGCGCAGCTTGACGCAGGGCTGAGCTGTGAGTGGAGCTGGGCCTG